TATAATTAAACCACTATTAAAAAACAAATTAGAAATTTTTTTTTTGTTTTGTTTTATTTCTGATGAAAAAACAAACACCTTTTACCTTTAAATTTTCAATGAAAAATTCTTAGATCTGAATGAAGAAATCATCTGTAGAGAATTCATAAAAAAGGCACCAAAATGGAAGAATCGAAAAGGAAAACAATGACAATGACGATAAATAATGTGTTTTAATGAAATTTTTTTAACAAATAACAAAATAACAATGACGAATGATGAATAATTTGAAAAAAAAAAAAAAAACAGAACAATGAGAATTTGAAAACGAAAACAGAAAAAAAATAATTCAACGGTAGAGGTGGGTTTTTTTGTTTTAAGAGTTTATTTTCGGTGATTCGTGATACTTGCTGTTGTTGCCATTGTTGTTGTTATTTGATTCCTGTTTAATCATGATGCACTTATACATATATATATACTCACACCACAAAGAAATTGGCCTAAAACATATGCAAGATCACGACAACGACAATGAATGATGTTGACGACAAAACCACCAAAATAACAGACAAAAATTAAATTTGATAAACATTTACACACACACATATAACAGATTTTTAAATGAAATGAAATATATCAACAACAACAACAAAACAAAAATCAATTGAATTCGATTGGATTCATGATGATGATGATGATGGAAAATTTAAAAAAAAATAAATTCATCATCACACATATACATTTTTTAAATCACATATATATTCAATCCATATTGATAATGATGATCATCATCATCATCATTCATCCATCCATCCATCGTATCATTATGTGATCATATTTTCATTCGATTTGATTACATTGATCCATGATCTATGATGTTGATGATGATGATGATGATGATGTGATTGATTGATTTTTATTTGTATTGAATCAAAATCAATTTGAATCAATCAAGAGTTATGTTATTCATTCATTATTATTTAGTGTGGTATAATTTCATTTGATAATTTGAAGTTTTTTTTTGATGGCAGTATTTTTCAACAGAAACACCCACCGAATAAAAATAAATAAATTATCGATTCATAATAAAATTTGGAATTTTTCAAAAAAAAAAAAAAAATCGAAAATTTCAGAAAAAAAAGAAGAAAAACATATCTCGGTACATAAATTGTACATTGGCATTAGAAATTTTTTTTTTTTTTGTTTTTCCTATTTTGATGAAAAGGAAAAACAAATGTGATACATACACACACACACACACATACTACATGATGATGATGATGATTATCCTCCATCAGACAAACACACCACACCACAATAACTTGATAGAAGCATTGGATTTTACCATCATCATCATCATCATTATCATTGGATGAATGGATGGATCATGAACAATTTATTTATTTCATTATCTTCTACCACAACTATGATGATTTTTGGTGTCTTGATCAGTAGTATGTTGATGACGACAATAACACCATCACCATCATCATCATCATCATCAACATCATCTTCAGCAGAAGCAATATCCTACAATCACAAATGTTGATGTGGATGTTTTTTATTTTTTCTTTCTATCATTACAACAAAAAAAAAAAATATTCAAATGAAAATCATTGTACATTTTCACCGTTATGAACAGAAACAAAAACTTGATGAAAACTTTTTGGAAGCACAAAAAAAAAAAAATTTGACACCCCCAATTTTTTCGCAAGAACCTTACCAAACTCACAAATAACCGACGATATTACACACACACACACACACACACATACAAAACACAAACAAAAAAATTTTTTTTTCTTTTAATTCAAGATTTTCTTTATGGAATTCACATTTTTTTCATGTTATTTTTTTCTTTGATCTATTTTTTTTCTCGATATGGAAAATTGTAGAATAACATAAACACACAAACCTTATTATTGTAGTTGTCGTTGTCGTTGTTGTTGTTTTTTTCGAATTTCTGGTTATAGTAGTAGTAGTAGTAGTAGTGGTTCATATATTATTATTGGATCCAATAAAAACAACAACAACAACAACAACAAAAAGAAGAAATATTCCTTCAAAAAAGGAAATCGAACCAGATAAAATGTTTTGTTCACACACACACACACACACACATACACATAAATTATGGCCACTTCTTCATTGAAAATTGCACCATCTTCATCATCATCATCATCATCAATATAACATATATAAAACACGAACCAAACTAAACCAAATTGATTCAAACTGAACCGAATCGAAAAATTATCACCAAGTTGTAAGAAAAAAAACAACGTGCGTTTGCGTCTCTTTCTTTCTGTGTGTGTGTGTGTGTTTTCACATCATTTTTTTCATTTTAATATACACAAGAGGCGCCAAGCATGCTGTTTTGGTGTGTTTTTCCTCGCAAGCTATCCTGTTTTCTGGTATCGAATAAAAAAAAAGAGAGACAGACAAACAGACAGGCAGAAAGTGAATAGATATTGTGAATTTTTTTTTACTAATACGCATCTGCGTCTGGTGTGTTGTAGTTGCTAACTAAATGCAGCAGACAGACAAACTCCATACAGCATTTTTTTTTTCGTCCTATTGACACACTAAGAACACAAGAAGAAAAAGACGAAGACGAAGAAAAAAAATTCTTTGGCTTCTTGCTTTCATTTTGTATTGAATATCTTTATTGAAAAAAAAAACACACACACAGACACAACTACATTTTTAACACTTTGAACATATTAACATCACTACTACTACTACCTATATATAATAGAATCTAACTAAACTATATATATAAATTGTATATATCCACCGAATTGTAAATATCCATGCGTGTTTGTTGATGATCCAAAGACAAAATATATACTACAAATAATACATAAGAATCCATAAATGATGACGACAATTCAACAATACACACACACACACACACACATAGAATTACTATATACTACCACTACCAATCATCTATTGATATTTTAGAATCATAATAACCAAAAGAATAGTGAAAAATGATCATCATCAAAGAAGAAATAATAAATTGTTTCCTCGTAGTATTATGTAAATTACACATCATGATGAATTATAAATCAATGAATGATGAATTATCTTAGAAAAAAAGAAATAATCATCATTAATTTATTTGATCAATAATCATTATCATCATTTTTTTCTCTTCTGTTCACTGACTGAATAGTTGATAATTTCTTATTCAAATGGACAATTACGAGAACATTTGTACCTAAAAAAAATAACCAACAAGGATGTAATGTATGAAAAAAAAGACAAAAACAGATTTTTCTACATCTTTAAAAATTGTCAAATAATCAAAAGGGAAAAAAAATTCAGACCCTATGGTCCTATTGTAATCGTGTGTGTGTGTATGTGTAACACAAAAGGAAAGAAATTGAAACACACGAATAAAATTAAATTAAATTCCATTTGCACATCCTCGCAATTGACGTCATAGCTGGTTTTTCTTGTTGTTGTTGCAGTTTTTTTTTCAATAGAAATCATTGTTATCGATTTCGTGGGGCCATTCTCCATAGTTCTCTTTATTAAAAAAAAGTTTTATATTTCTTGTAACCAGATTCAACAACAACAACAATAGAAACGAAAAAAAACTTGTCATTTACGTGGGTGGTTAAGTTTTTCCCATTTCCTGGTCTATCCTGGCTGTTGTTGTTGTTGCTATTGTAATACAAAATTACAAATCTCATACATCACCCAAAATCGATTTATCTCTATTTTTCTTTTGTTTTTTTTTGAATTGATAATTACCAAGGGAGAATATATCAAAGAATATCTTAGGATATTTCCCTCATAAACAACTTATATAGATCATTTGATACAAACAAACTTTTTTTTCTTTTCATTCTCACCATTGCCAACAACAGAATAGAACCAAAAAAAAACCATCAAGAATTGAAAACAAAAAAAATTCAATCAGAATTCTAATCTAATCTAAATCAAAGATCAAAAAAAGAATGGTAATTTCGACATTTTTATATTCTATTTGATGATGATGGGATAAAAATAGTCGCCCTCCAGTATCATCATCATCATCATAAAATATAACTAGCTTATTATTTGTCTTTGTTATTCAAAAAAAAAAATATGATGATGATAATGTTCGGTGAATAACGACAACAATATGTACAAAGAATATAAAAAAGTTAGACATATTTTGCCATAAATATGATATAAATATAATGATAATAAAACAAAAGATGACAAACATTGTGTGTGTGTGTACCGGCTGGATATTGAAAACTATTGTTTCCAATTTCAAAATTGGATTCTAATTTTATTCAATGAAATTCTCTCTCTCTCTCTCTCTCTCTCTCTCACTCAACTCACATACTTATTTGATGAGGAAACAACATCAAACATCGATATGGAAAAAAAACAAAAAAGGCGTTTCCTCAAATTAGCAATATATCCTGATGATAATGTTTTTGTTTGATTTGTTGAAAACAAAATACTGAATTTTTTTTTTTTTGGTGTCAAGATAAACTTTTAACTAAACAATGTTTTCAATCAGGTAGAAAACACAAAGAAAAAAACTTGTAAAATAATGGAAAAATAAAATAACAAAAATTTCATCATCCGGATTGAACTGAAAAACTGAATGAAAAGCCAGATATCGATGTCATGTGGAAAATGGAAAGAAAAAGTGAGAGAAAAAAGTAAAATCTGATAAATGATGAATTGGCAAAAAAAAAAATTTAAATTAGCGCAAACAAAAAAAACAGCCTTGATCTCAACTATAACGATGATGAAAATAAAAAAAAAACTTAAATTTCAATTCAAAAGAGACAGGGAATTCATCCATCATCATCATCATTAATTAATCGTTCTAGTCAAATCGAATCTTTATGTCATTACAGGGTGTCATGTTGGATTCAAGTATGATGATGATGGAAACAAAAATGATAAAAAAATTCAATTCAATTATCATCGCCATCATCATCATAATTAATGAATTTTTTAAAAAAAAAAATTAAAAAAAAAAAAAAAATGGAAATTCAACTTACATGTTTTGAACAGAATGTTAAGCTGTTTACAATCATTGCCATCAAAATAATGATAAAATGATGTGCCAATCAAGTCATTAACATTATAGCCAAAAAGTTGTTTGATACTAAATTAGTACATATAAATTGTGGAAGAGAAAAAGAGAAAAAAATTGACATAAAAAAAATGTAAACATCATCATCATCATCATCATCAATATCATACCTTTCATCTACATAAGAGAATTTCATATCTGGTAAATGTTTCGATATAAAAACATCACTTTTTAATGGTATTTCCATCCGTATAGGATGCTGTATAACTTCAGCAACAACAATCATATAATGACGATAATTTTCACCAATTAAATTTGCATGTACAGGATTCACCTGTTCCAAATTGATCATACGTCCTTGACATTTGATTACCTATATGTCAAAATCAAAAAAAAAAAATTCAATTAAATTTTCAACAAATCTAAGAAAAAACAAATCACAATGACTCACCTTATAATTGGCTGATTTAAGATTTAAATTTCGACCCTTATTTGTGAGTGTACATTTCATACGTATGAAATATGGTCCAATTGTATCGCCAAGTATTTCATTATTCAACAATGATGATGATGATGATGATGAGGTCGATGGTGATTTCGTTGTTGTTGATGATGATACGTCTTTTTTTACTGGTTCTGTTTTTATTGATAATGAATCCAATGATGATGACGATAATGTCTGTTTAGTTGCATTAAATGCAACAATTGATGGCTGTAAAAGTGATTTAATGTCATCATGATCACATGGATGACTATAATCATAAATGGATTGACCCATTAAATCAATCTGATTCAGGCCAAGATAGTGTTCAACATTTTCAGATAAATAAATAATGTCACCATTTTTAGAAAGTACAAATAAAAATCCATTCAATGTATTCAATAATGAATTGTCCATTGTCATATTTTCAAATTGATTCAATGTACCAATACCATTGTTGTTGTTGTTGTTGTTGTTCACTATTTGTGTTGTTTACAATAAAAAAAACAAATTATGAGCAGTGAGAAAAATTATTAATTGATTCATGAATATTGAGGGAAAAAATTAAAATTCAGTTTATAACTTACCATTGAATGGTTCAATTACTGAACGTATTTTCAGATAATTTATAGCTATCCGTATAAATGATGCTTTATCCAAATGATCCAATATTTTTGTCGGTACTGGCAATATTTCTTCAATACTATCGAATAATTTTGCCTCTTGACTACGGCGTTCACGTGCTGCTTTTCGAGATTTTTCTTTACGTTTTTCTGAATTCCTGTTCATCCCAGTAAAAGAAAGAGATATAGAGAGAAATTAGTTTTCATTTTTTTCGAAATCAGAAAAAAATCACACACACACACACAGTAGCCGAAATTGTTCGGTAATTTCAAAATCAAAACAAAAGAATCTCAAAAAAAACAACGCTCAATAGCGACAGCTATCGGTAAATTTCGAAAATATTTCTACTGTAAAAAAAAGAAAATTTTTTTAAACCAAAAAAAAAAAAAAAAATTTCCATTACATTTCATCTCGTGAATTTAATCAAATTAAATAAACAGAAAAAAAAATTTTTCTGAAAATCAAAACATATATAGACATATTGATTATCAATGAAGATTTCTATTTCAATCGTTTGTCATTGAATTCGGGAATTTTTTTTCGATATATACAAAAAAAAAATAGATAGATAAAAGTTCATAGACGAGGTCAAAGTTTTTCTTCACACACACACACACACACACACACACACTCATTTAATGATTCAATTTTGAGAAAAAAAAAAAATCAAACAAAATAAAATTACATTCGATAAGATGTGTGTGTGTGTGTGTGTGTGTGTGTATGAAGAGAATCACCTTCGCTATAAAATGTGTAATATTTCAATATTTGTAAGTACAAAATAAAATATTGAATACGTGAAATTTTGAGTTTTTTGTTGTTGTTGTTGTTGTTGCTGAAAAAAATAATATTTATCATACTATGTATAACCCAGATCATTCAATCATCATTTGAATAGTTTTGGATTAAAGACGACAATGATTTGACCTCAATTTTAATAAATATATGATGATGGTAGTGTGTAAAAATATTTTTTTGGGATTTAAATTTTTTTTTGAAAATTTTTTTTTTTTTGTTGGCAATCGATTAGGCTAACTCTATCTTTGATTTCCTGTAAAAAAAATTTACATTGATTTAGGGTCGCCACATAATCATCATCAAGCTCGAGGATGGCTGACTAGATTTCCGTTTCATCAATGTTATCGATCAATACACAATATATAAAATTAATCGAATTAATCAATCATCGAAGGTCGGTGATCCTTTTTTTTGCCATGACAAAACAAAAAAAAAAAAAAAAATGTTCCGCTACGCATATCAGAACAAAAACAACAAAATATACGTGCCATTCGGATCGCATTTCGTAACCCAACATCATGGCGGCCATCATTATATGATGAAAGGGTTTTCCTGTAATTTTTATTTTCGTGTTGCATGAGAAAAAAAAATTGGAACAAAATTCTTCAAAACAGTTTGTAGAAGAAAAAAAAATTTTGTAAAAACCAGAAAAAAAACAACAAAAATCATCAAGAATTCACATGATTCAATTCATCATTTATCGGTGGAAAAAAAATTGAAACGGGAAATGCAATTTTTTTAAAAAAATTAATAGGAATTTGTATGAAAACAAAAATCAAATGTTTTTCCATTTCTTTTTCACAGTAATTCTCGCAAGCAATAACAACAACAACAACAACAACGGAAAAATTGTCAATTTTTTTTATGTTAACTTCTGGAATACAAATGAAATCCTGTTTAAAATAAAATGTCAATTTGATAATCGAGAAATGTATCTATCTAATGATTATTACTATACAAACATAAACATATGGACTGGACAGGACATAACATCAACAAAATAGAGAAGAAAAAAAAGCAGATCAAATCAAATCAATTTTTTTTTTGGCTGACCAATTCCCCTCAATACACACATACACACACACAGACACACGCAAAACACATACATTATTAAATTATCGGCATTTGAAACATCAAATTCGTCGTCATCATCATTATTTTTATTATTAATAAAAATATTATTATTGTCGTTCATTATTAAAGCGGACGACGACGACGGCGGCGATGATGATGATGAAAAAGTTATGCGATTTATTTTATCCATCATTGATGATGATGTGAATGATTCTTGGAATCTATCATGAATCAAATGATGATGTTGTTGTTGATGATGAGAATCAGGATGAAGATGATGATGGAAAAAAGAAGGATGAGGTTCATTATAAGCATTCAATAATGATAATGATGAAAATCCGTTATTATCCATGGTTAAATAATGAAACGACTATCTTTGAACCGGATTTTGATAATTGTAACAATAAATGACATAGGTCATGTATATTTATTTAATTTAAATGGTCATGGATTGCACAAGAATAATGATGTGATGATAAACAAAAAATCATAACCACTTTAAACAAGTTTAAAATGTAATTTTTTCAATTGATTTTGAAAAAAAATTTGGTACATTTATCTATTCTCATTACATTTGTTGTTGTTATCTGTCATTCAACAAGAAAAAAGTGGATTTTTATCTCTATTTTTGTCAATTAAAACCACTCATCAATTGATTGATTGATTGATTTGATCTGATTGATTGATCAACACACATAAGTGCCACGGTGATCTTATAAATTTTTTTATAATATTGAAATTAATATCCATTATCATATTATATATCCACCACACACACACAAACACACACATAAATCAAGGCTGTTGTTTTTTGAATTTGGTGTTAATTACAATATAAAGATTGTCATCGTAAACGTTTTATAGTAATATAGTGTTTACAATGCACAGAAGCAAAATTATAAATCGGATATAAATGATAATGATTTGTAATTATCACACCATTCGGAATACACACAAACACACAATGGTTTATAAGTGTGTAAGTGTGACATTTAACGATGATTATAACATTAATAAAAATCTATATTATAAATTGGTTATATATTTTAATCAATATGTATGACAATCAATCAATCAATCAATATGTCACATTCAAAATGATGATCGATGATAATAAATAAATAAATAAATAAATGATGATTGTCAAATCGAAATAGCCGGAAATTGTGATCTATCGATTTATAAATTCATACGACAATCAATTTTTTTAAATCATTGTTGATAATCCACACACACACATACAGTACACACATAGAAAACGTTTCGTTGGTTGTTGGTGAAATTTAAACAAAAAAAATAATTTAAACGATTTGTCGGTTGCAGATTGATTTTTTCTGTCAAATATCTGGATCAAATCTGTCGAATGTGGATCGAGAAATTTTTTTTTTCGTTGACACACACACACACAGTCAAAATATGAAATGATCCATTTTTTTCTCTATAAACTACCGTCAATGATTTTAAATCAGAAAAAAAATTTGATATATCGTTGTCAATAATGATGATGATGATGACATAGAAAATGGGAAAGAAAATTAAGAAAAAAAATAGCGGCAAACGACAATTTTTTTTCCACACACACATACATACACAAAATGTCGTTATGGTCCATGTCATCACATATAATTATCATCAAAAAAAAAGTTTTTTTTTGTTTGTTTGCTTGTTGATCAATCAATCGATAGGTCCAATAATGATGGATATGATGATATGAATATTGTGGGTGTAATGGTGGTGGTCGTAGTCGTTGTCATCATCATCATCATCATCAATAAATCATTGACATAGACACATCTCGATAGAACTGGATATTATTGTATATCGAGTACATCAATATCAGCAAAAAAAAAGATCAATACAAAAATATTGACTACTATATACGGATATATTTGGATGACACCATCATTGATTTTTTTTCTATATATATTCATACACACACACACAGACAAAACACAAACTTCAATGTAAATAGTTTAATTATTAGATTTACGACGACAACGACAACAACAACAATATGTGATGATCGAAATGATGAGAAATAATACCATAAAAAACATCATCAGAATTAGATATCTTGAATAGACGAAACCTGGATGTTCCGGGAATTCCATTTTCATTTTCCATTGATAACAAAAAAAAAAAAATTTCGTAAAATGGATAAATTGTAGAGCATTAGTGGTAATAAATTTATTATTATTACATCAACGAAAAACAAAACACACAACAATTATATAGCCACCAAGATAAAGAATGAAAAAAAAAAAATGCAACAAGTTGCCACAAACGTATAGAAATTTATATAATATATATATAATGATCATCAAAATGGAGAAACCGAAAAAAAACTATGAGAATTTGACGCATGCACACAACATTGGAAAAAAAGTCTTTGAATGATGATGATGATGATAATCAGAGAAGAAGACGAAAAAAAAAAATCAAAAGCAGCAGCATTTAAAGACATAAAAATGCAGCAATATAAAAATTGTGTGTGTGTGTGTGTTTTGAAATGCAATTTACAAAATGATTATGATAATCTCACACATCCACACACAGTAATTAAAATTTATTTTGAATTTTTCTGATGACGTAGAATGAAATTAATTTTTTTTTCTTTTCTTTTTTCCTTTCCCATTTTTTTCCACATAACAATGTAACATCATCATCATCATCATTATCATTAAACGAATTTGAACCAGAAAAATACATTTCATCATTATTGCAATAATAAGAAGAAAAAGGCTTATGATCATCATCGATATCTTGTGGGGATCATAGAAAAACAAAACACACACACACACACATACATATCATCATCTTCGAAGAACAGTGGTGTTCAGAGCAACCACTACAACAACAACTGATCATCAACAAAAAAAAGGGAAAAAGAAAAAATGAAATTCAGTTGCACTCTAACAAACACTTTGATAGTGATTGAAAGTTGAATACATCATTACACTTAAACAACAACCAAAATTAAAAAGAAAAAAAGAAAATTTATTGAATTTTAAATTAGGGGCTAAAAAGCACCTGAATATTATTTTCTAGTGCACAGGTGTGAATAATTCCGTTCCCTCTCTCTCTCTCTCTCTAATAAATTGATCATTATCGAAAAAAGAAATCTTTCCAACGGCAACAGAGATCATTGATTTATATTTTACACTTGATAATTACACTTAAAAATATTCAGTGCATAGTAATAAAAAAAACAAACAAAACATTGTTGTTGTTTTCAAACGGAAATCAATAATTTTTTTTGTGGTTGCTAAGACGATATTCTTTTCT